CATCTAAGTGTCTTTAGAAACCGCTAAATAAAGAACAAATATCTAGTTTTTCATAATATCTTCCTATTTTTCTTCCTTAGATATTCTCTCTGTCTTCCACTACCTAGTACTCTCTTTTAGGAGGTTCTCCCGATGGTTCAGAGGATAAAGAATCTACCTGTAATGCAGGAAACTCAGGCTCAATCCCTGGGTCAGGAAAATTCCCTGGAGAAGGGAATGGTTACCCACTTCAGTATTCTTGCCTGGAGAATCTCATAGCAGAAGAGCCTTGTGAGCTACAGTCCGTGGGGTCACAAAGAGTCAGGAATAACTACTGCTTTCAGTTTTTCACTTCATCATGTGATCAACAATGACCCTTTATATTTAGAGCCTAATTACTATTTTTACTTATTACTACTAAAAGTCATACTCTGGATAAACAGAGAAATAAATGAAAAAAGAAAAAACCTACATAAATCTAAAAACACAAGCTTTCAAACTAGAGAATTATTGTGACATAAATGTACTTTTATACATTATATACAGATATTTGTGTTTTTATTTTATTATCATTTGTTAGCCCCCATGAATCAAATGGAGAAAATTTTATAAACATCAGGAAAACCTTTACTCCAATTAGAAAAATAATGTATATTCAATTTTGAAAATTCTGATGTTTTATGATGCATTGNTCAGGAAAACCTTTACTCCAATTAGAAAAATAATGTATATTCAATTTTGAAAATTCTGATGTTTTATGATGCATTGAGAAAACAGATGCTAGAATCATACTGTCTGATACAGTAGTGACTGTATTTAGCACTCAAAATAGAGTTACTGCATATAGAAATATACTATACGTATAAAACATTTGTTAGAAAACAATTCCAGAAATTGGAAACCAAACAATTGTCATGGAAAAACAGAATGTAACATATTAATGTTTTGATGTTGATTACATGTTGAAATGGTAACAGTTTGGACATACTGAGTTAAAAATTTATCAAATTAATTATACCTGTTTTTTCTTATTTTCATAATATAAGTGCAAGAAAAATTTAAATTACCTATTTGGCTCGAAGTATGTTACACTCTGTTAGAGAATTCATTTTGTTTGTACAAAAAAGCCTGAGCTAATTTAAGACATTTTGATATAAAAAAATGGTCATATATTCTGATTTACAAAATGTTTGTGGAAGGGTGGCATCCTGGCAGAATGGTGGATAAGTACATGTTGATGTTTTTATAAATTTACTGGGTATTGTGTTCATATGTAAAGCAAAGGGCCTTGTATTCCTATACTCCTATTAAGTTGTCTTCCTTCATTAGTTAAGGTTCCATCTGGGACTGACTATGCTTAATCTCAGGGCAGTGATCCAGTAGAATCCAGAGAACAAATGTAAATATTTATTTCTACGTTTTCAAAGCCTAGACCTTGAGGCATAAATATAAGATTTAGGGTGATACTTTAAGCAGTCTGATTGACTTTTTCTTATCTCCAAAACTAGATCAAGTTTTTCCTAACTGGGGAAGGGTGAAGAGAAAGAGAGAGGAGAAGAGGATGCTAGAGAGTTTACATAGCATCATATCCTTAAAAGGCCTATGCCCTATATTTCATATAGACCACTGGCCAGGAAGTGGCCAAGGGGTAATAAAAGAATTCACACCCTGGGGACTGAGTCTTATGCAAATAAGGTAGCAAGAACCCAGAGTTCTGACTTCAACCCAGCACAGCACTGGAACAAAAATGATTAGATGGTTTTTTTGGGAACATGGCCTTATTTAGCCTCATTATATTTCCAGAAGTCCCAGAAAGTCATGAGAGAGAGCACCTGCATGTTTCCCATACCCTCAAAAAGAGGAGGGAAATAACTGAAAGTGAGTCGATTAAGGAAAGGTTTATGGACAAGTGTGAAAGATATCAAAATAGCAACTAGTGTGGGCACAGAACCAAGCACAGCCTGAGATCTTGTGTATCTCAATACATGGAGGAACTAAATCCGGATTCTTTTCTGATCTAAGAACTGACTGCTATTTCAAGAGTTCCTGGAATATACATGCAGCTTGAGGAGAAAAAAGAAAGAAGAAAAACTCTGGGTTAGTTGAGGAACATAAAGGAGGTTTAACTCAAATGTAATCTCAGAGTTTCATATCTTCTATGTGATCAGTGAGGTAGCAAGCAAGGATCATGAATCATTTTAAAATTCTGGATGACTTGAGAACATTTTTATTTAGTTTTAATGGGCATGTATTTACTAGTGGGTAAAAACATGAGTTTTAAATGTCACTTTGGTTTGTCTCCAGGGAACAATCCCATGACTAAAGGCCAATCCTTGGGAAACTTTTAGTAACTTCTCTTTTTTGCCTCTTAAAGAACTCCGGGAGATCGTGAGGGACAGGGAGGCCTGGCTTGCTGCAGCCTATGGGGTGCCAAAGAGTCATGACTTAGCGACTGAACAACTCTTTATTCTAAAACCACTACTTCTCCATATGTACATGAGTCTGCTTTCTGTGAGCATTTTCAATGTCCAAAGCTGATTTTCTCTTTTATATCTTCAATTTTTTGTTGTGAAATATTCAAATAAACAGAAAAGTTGAAGTACTAGTAGAACGAACACTCTATTTATGTGACATTAATTCAACAATTAACCATCTACTATATTTGTTTTATTTCTTACTCTCTATGGATACACACATTTATTCTGAAATGTTTAAAACATAAATTTTAGACAGTATTTATTTTCATCCTTAAATTTTTCAAAATGAGGACATTGTGTTACATAAGTACAATACTAATCACAAACCTATGAAAATTAACAAAAATGACTTGTTATCATTTAATCTTCAGCCCACATTCAAATTTCCCCACTTATGCCATGGATGTGTTTTCTAGTTATTATTTTTTTTTCTAAAGAAGAATTCTGTCTATGTTCTTATGTTGTATGTGCTGCTACATCTTTTTAGTTTCTTTTAGAAAGTAGTTCCCTCCACATACCCCTCTTTTTTTTAATTACATTTTTTTAAAAAGCCCAGATCAGTGTTCTCATAAAATGTTCCACATTCTGAATTTATTTAATTGCTTGCTCCTTGTGTAGTTTAATATGTCCCCCTATCTCTTGTATTTCTTCTAAATTGAAATTTAGGTCTAATTGATGAGATTCAGGGTAAACATTTTTGGCAAGGCTACATTGTCAGTGACATTGTGTATTTCATGATACATCACATCAGGACTGACATATGTCAGGTTCTCCCACCATTTGACCCGTTGGTGAAGTGGTTACTCTCCACTATACAGATACCTTTTCCCATTTGCAGTAAGTCATTTGCAGTGTTACTTTAGACTCTCTCTAAATACATCCTTCTTTTCTTCACCACTTTGATTCTTAACCAATTGCTTGCCTCAAGGAAGTTATATCCTCTCCCTGAAGCTTCCTTTCTTCCCATCCATTAATTAAGAACAAATGTGAGATTGTAAAGATTCAGCGACAAAGAATGTGAAACGGTTTTGGAAATTTCAAAGTATTTTGCAATTGTAAGACATCTTTATTCCTATAAAGAAATATTAATAGTTTCAGATTCTCTGAACAAACTCCTTATTCAGGGGAAGCCATGGTGATCTGGTACATGGCTCAGCAACCAGCTTTCCAAACAGAAAAGCCTTGCTTTAAAAATTTTTCCAGTTTCTGTGGTGTTAATATTCCTACTCTGGCCAATTTCAAACCAACACCTTGATGTCAACCAGACTGCAAACTTCCAGAAAATTTAATGATCAACTCTTTTGAGCTTGAACAGGTCAATTTCAGCACAACACTGAGAGGATGCTTGTAGGGAAGGGTTGCCAGATTTAACAAATGCAAATATATCTGATATTTGAGACAGTTTTTTGTTGTGGATTTGAATTCAAACTTAGCCAGGTGTCCTGTATTTTCTCTGACAACCCTAGGTAAAGGGCATGTTTCCAAGGGTATGTATGTGTGTGTGTGTGTGTGTGTATGGAGGTGTAAGTGAGAAGCCTAAAGAGACAGATACTAATCTTCTTCCCCCAATGACTCAACCATACATTCTCTGTATTTATTTGATTTACTTTTTTTTTTTTCTTTGCTTCAGTCAGGGAAATGCCACACCAGAATTTTCCCAGTTTATACTTTGTCTTATTACTAAGATTTCAGAGCAAAAAAGAGAGAGACTTTGAGAAGAATTGAGAAGTTTATGCTATAAAATGAGTTCTAAAAAAAATTTTTTTTTAATTATATAGCAACTTTCTATTTTGACCAAACTCAATTCTAACCTTTTTCAAAACATACATAAGTAAACAAATGCCAAGTGTTATTTAAAAGTTTGGAAATTAGAATTTTCTTTAGAGTATGTAGGAAAATGATTAATAAAAACTTTGGTAGTTTATGATAACTGCCTTACAGATAGGCTTTGTTGGCATATTTAGGTGAATCAATTCTTTTTAAAATGATGCATGTGCAAAATAAACTGAAGAACTGAGTGGTCTCCAATTGCCACAGTGAGGTAGAATATAATTTGCCCAGCCATTTGTATTAAATATTTTTTTAAAGATTTTTTGATGTGGAAGATTTTGAAAATCTTGATTGAAGTTGTTAAAATATTGCTTCTGTTTTTTTTTTTTTTCACTTATTTTTATTAGTTGGAAGCTAATTACTTTACAATATTGTAGTGGGTTTTGTCATACATTGACATGAATCAGCCATGGATTTACATGTATTCCCCATTGCTTCTATTTTATGTTTTGGTCTTTTGGCTACAAGGCCTATGAGATCTAAGCTCCCTGACTAAGGATCACCCCCTGCATTAGAAGATGAAGTCCCAACCACTGAACTGTCAGGGAAGTCCCCTGTATTAAGTATTATATATTAAAGATATTTACCTTTACAGTAAAAAGAATAGGAGGACAAACACTTTGGTTGTCACTGTATACTTAATATCCTATGAAAAATATGCTCTTTCCCTGTCAAAAGAAAGCGTGCATTTGACTATATGGTTCAGTAAGTCATGCCCAGCTAGCCCAGTCAGTAGAGCATGAGACTCTTAATCTCAGGGTTGTGGGTTCGAGCCACACGTTGGGCAACTTTTTTGCTGCCTTGGGTTTCCCTGATTTGTCAGTTTGTAAAGAACCCACCCGCAGTGCATTAGATCCCAGTTCAATTCCTGGCTAGAGAAGATCTGCTGGAGAAAGGATAGCCTATCCACTTCCACAAGAGCTTCCCTGTGGCTCAGGTGGTAAAGAATCCACCTGCAATGTGGGAGACCTGGGTTTGATCCCTGGGTTGGGACGACCCCCTGGAGAAGGGAAAGGTTACCCACTCCAGTATTCTGGCCTAGAGAGTTCCATGGACTGTATAGGCCATACAAATTTGTTTGCTAGGGCTGCCATTACAAAATAACACAGACTAGGTAGTCTTCATAAGACACATTTGTTTGCTCACACTTCTGGAGGCTGGAAATCCAAGATCAAAGAGTTGGCAGATCTGGTTTCTTCAGAGGCCTCCCTCCTTGGTGGGCTGATGGCTGTCTTCTCATTTTCTCCTTGCATGGCCTTTCCTCTGTGCACTCCCCTCCTGTATTTGTTCCCTAAGCTCTTCTTATAAGGATACCACTCACACTGGATTGCATGCTAAGTCACTTCAGTTGTTCCTGACTTTTTGTGACCCCACGGACTGTTGCCCACTGGGTTTGTCTGTCTACGGGATTCTCCAAGCAAGAATACTGGAGTGGGTTCTCATGCCCTTCTCCAAGGGATCTTCCCAACCCAGGGATCAAACCTGTGTCTCTATGTCTCCTGCATTGACAGGCAGGGTCTTTACCACTAGTGCCAACTGGGAAGTCCCACACTGGATTAGGGTCCACCCTAATGGCCTCATTTTAATTTAATAACTTCTTTAAAGACCCCATTTCCAAATACAATCACCTTCTTAGGTGTGGGGCTTAGGATTTCACTATATAGAATTTTTTTTGGGTGGGGGGGCACAATTCATCCCTAAGCAGCATACTTCTCTATAGTTAATTTAAGTTGGAATATATATTTCTAATTCTTTCTCACCAGAAAAGTAGTCAATTCAACACACAAAACCCGATCTTGCACTCTTTTGTCAAAGCCCTTCTATCTATCCATCTTGCTCAAAACACAATCTACCCATCTTGCTTTCCTCTATCCTGCAAGACTGTTCCATCTGCTCTCCTCAACCTCCTCTCTCTCAGAATCTACCCTCCACTACTGTATGACTCGTTTCAATACTTCAGTGCCCTCAGCCTCTGTGACAGACATCCTTCTGTGTGAAATGACTTTCCTCTTTTTCCTCCCTTCTTTCAGTTATTCTTCCTTTAAATATTATCATCTCATGAGAAGATCTCCGCCTGACTTTCTAATATATAGTCCTCGATCTTGAGTGTTTGAGTGTCTCCTGTGGAGGCTTGGGTCAGCAATGGCCTGCTGTGGGCACAGAGTTTCTGGCTGCAGCAGACCTGAGTCACACAGCATTACCCACCATAGAGGTGCTGAGCAAATGACCCACAAACTGCAGAACAATTATGCCAAAGAAATTCTTGCACTGTTAAGAAAGTCATAATACCCACAACAGATTTCCCAACCCTCGGATCCTGCAAAGGGACTGAGAACCCCAAGGGAATTTGATGTTGGAGGCCAGTGGGATTTGATTACAGAATTTCCACAAGATTGGGGAAACAGACTCGTGGAGGGCACAAACAAAACCTTGTGCACACCAGGAGCCAGGAGAAAGGAGCAGTGTCCCCACAAGAGACTGAGTCAGATTTGCCTGTGAGTGTCCAGGAGTCTCATGTCAGGGCTTGGGTCAACAGTTTGGCCTCAGGCCAAACAACAGGGACAAAACACAGCCTCAGCATCAAGCAGAAAATTGGATTAAGTATCTACTGAGTAAGGCCCTGCCCATCAGAACAAGACCCAGTTTTCCCCACAGTCAGTCTCTCCCATCAGGAAGCTTCCATAAGCCTCTTATCTTTATTCATCAGAGAGCAGACAGAATGAAAGCCATAATCACAGAAAACTAACCAAACTGATCACATGAACCAAGTCTTGTCTAACTCAATGAACTATGAGCCATGCTATGTAGAGCCACCTAAGACAGATGCGTCATGGTGAGTTCTGACAAAACATGGTCCATTGGAGAAAGGAATGGCAAACCACTTCAGTATTCTTGCCTTGAGAACCCCATGAACAGTATGAAAAGGCAAAAAGATATGACACTGAAAGATGAACTCCCCAGGTTAGTAGGTGGCCAATATGCTACTGGAGAAGAGTGGAGAGATAACTCCAGAAACTAAGAAGAGATGGAGCCCAAACAAAAACAATGCCCAGTTGTGGATGTGACTGATGATGGCAGTAAAGTCTGATGCTGTAAAGAGCAATGTTGTGTAGGAACCTGGAATGTTAGGTGCANATGTGACTAGTGATGGAAGTCAAGTCTGATGCTATAAAGAACAGGTATTGCATAGGAACCTGGAATGTTAGGTCCATAAACTGAGGTAAATTTGCTCTTAAACATAATATTAATTTTTCAATGATGAAGTGATTTATGAAAAACAGAACTTCCTGGCCATTCTGAAGCTATTTAAATGTAGCTAAGTTTCTTTTAATATAAAATATAACTTGGCTTATCTTTTCTTTATGTTTCTTCTTCCCCTTCATCACATGATGCTGTGCAGGTCAAGGCTAATATTACCATAATTATAGTTCTTCATCTCAATATCTAGATGAACAACTTCAGAATTTCGGTCTTTTATTTTCTTAAATTCTTTGAGTTCATCTCAGAAGGCAAGTTAGTACCATTTTGTACTCAAATAGATTTGGGGGAATGAGTCCTAACAGTACTTCTTAAGTTTAAGAAATTCTAGATGTTCTTATTATATGCTATAGAAGTTTTCTTAGTCACTTAGATGGTTCTGGTTATTAGTGAGAATTAAATCAAGTGGCTTTTAGTGTACTCTCTAAAAGCTCAATGAGAACAATGCCCTAGAAATTAGGACACCATGCTTATCTTCCCAGTTACATCACAAATTCCCTGCCCATCCAGTAGCTAACTTCATTGCTAGAACATGTTTATCTATCTCTATCTCTATACCAATATCTACACACACACACACATATATATATATATATATATATATATATATAGAGAGAGAGAGAGAGAGAGAGAGAATTAATNAGTCTGACACGACTGAGTGATTGAACTGATCTTGACTTTCCTTGTCTTATTTTTTTCTCTGTCACATTATCAACATATTTAATATTTTACTTAGTGATCCTGTTTATTACCTGTCTCCCACAAGTACATATATTATATTTTTGTTTGTTTTATTGACCATTATATTCTCTTTATTTTAGAACACTATCAAGTTGCAAATATTTAATAAGCACTGCAAATAAAATAAATGATGTTCAGTTTGGATTTATCTTTTTTCAAGCTTTCTTACAGTAGGGAGAGGAATACAAGCAACATACTTAAGATCTTGGAGGCAGAGAATTAGGCAGAAACTGACTAAAAGACCTGCTAATGATTGGTTTTGGGCTATAGTCTTATCTATCTGAGCCTCAGGCTACTCAATGAAATTTAAAGGAACAGTGAGGTTAAATCAGTAAAATGATTAGCAGAGTTATATTGTAATTCTAAATTCAAATCTGAACTCAGTGTTTGAATTGACTAATCAGGTCTGTTCTGGAAAGGATGGCTTTGGAGTTGTCATAAGTGCTAGATGATGTCCAGAGTCAAATACAGGCACACCTCATTTTATTTTGCTTCACAGATACTGTGTAGTTTAAAAATTGAAGGTTTGTGACAACTGTATGTGGAGTAAGTCTATTGGCTCTGTTCTTCCAACAGCATTTGCTCATTTTGTGTCTCTGTGTCAAATTTTGGTAATTCTTGCAATATTTCAAACTTTTTCATTATCATTATATTTGTTATGGTGATCTGTGATCAATGATCTTTGATGTTACTATTGGAATTGTTTGGAGGTAATTGTTTTATTACGATATTCTTTATTGCAGTAGTCTGAAACTAAACCTGCCATATCTCCAAAGTGAGCCTGTAATCTTTCTCTGTAAACATAAAGTCATACCATGTTGGTTTAAGAGCTTGTTTTTCCTTTAATTACATAAAGATCAGTTTTGAAACCAGTTAAAGAAAAATACAACTTACATAACTCCTTCTGGTTTCAAAGCTGAAAAACTAATTTAAAAATCATGAAAGATTCTTTATTATGTTTAATATTAATTTTTTTCATCACTTGTATTTGGTTTTGTAATTTTATTTTCCATTTTTGCCCTGCCATTTCAAGTTTCTTAGAGAATAGTATGAATTGAAAGTCAGCTTTTCTATATCCTCAATTATTACAAGTGAGAGAGGTAAAACCCACACTAAAACTTGCCCAAAGACACAGATAGCTATCAGAGACTAGGAACAAATCTGAGATGTGGAAGAAAACTAACACTGCCTGCCACATGAGTTTGGGAACATAGCAGTTTTTCACTAAGGAAACCCTAGCTTGGCCAAAGTGATGTGAAATGGTCACAAGGTCACTTAACTGGAAAGGACTTCCTACCTGCAAGTCCAGTTCTTTCCCTTATTCTATTCTTAGTCTTCCCTCTTTTTACTAATGAAGGATTACAATCCTGGACTTTGGTCTCCCACTGAGAGGTACCTTGTTGCTTAATAGGGTCTTCTGGTCACAGTGAGTATGAACTAAATGGTGCTTTGTGAAGATTCCTCATGATTTAAATTGACCTGAGCTTGAGAGACCACATTTGAATTTATAACCTAACAAAGTGCCACCATCTATTTTGACAGAACACAACTCATGCATGATCCACCCTCTCCATTCACAATGCATACAAAATAATCATTCTTCTAAGGCTTTTTATATTTCCTGAGAGGAGTGTTCTTCCTCTTGCTTTTTCCTGAATGAGGAAGTGCTTATAATCTCACCTCTTAAATTACATTTTAAGGCCTCACAAACCATAGTAAAGGGACAGAGTCAGCACTAATTTCATAAACTATCTCTAAGGGAATTAATTACAACTTGACTTATTTTTC